GGGGAGGGGAGGGGAGGGGAGAGCCTGACAGCAACATCACCAGCTGGAAGGGTGGAGCCTGTTGCACCTGAGGCCACAGGGCCTCACCCGGGCTCTCACCTGGGCTTCTGCTCCAGGCAGCACTTACTCAGATGCGAAGGGGACAGACACGCCCTGAGGAGCCCATACGTTTTCTCCTTTCTCCACGCCCCCGCCCTCTGTAGTGCTCCTACATACTGGACCCAGCATCGTCACACCTGGCTACATTCCCCGGCCCTATTTTGTTTTATTTTTCATTTTGAGACAGAGTTTTGCTGAGTCATTAAGTTGCCCAGGCTGGGCTCCCACTTGGGACCCTCCTGCCTCGGCCTTCCAGATGTTGAGATTATAGGGCTGCGCCTGGGAATGTGGATTTTGCAAGTGCCCCCCCTGCTCCCTAACTGGTAAGGCTGGTGTGGTGCCTATGCTGCTTGTGTAAGCAGCATGGCTTACATGGAGCACCTGCCCTTCCCAGAGTTGAGTTCTGCCCTGTGCCAGGCACAGAGTGCCCACACGATCTGCCCAAGGAAGAGCCTTGGGCACTGAGTCTCAGCAGCTTCCTGAGCAGAATGCTACTCAGGGGCTGAGGACAGAATGGGCTCTGGGATACTCATGGGGCAAGAGCACACAAAAGCCCAACACGGGGTTCCCCAGCCTCACCCGGGTCTCTCTCCTTCTGGTGGGGTGGGCGGAGTCTCCTCACCACCGCACACGTGCCCTGGGCCTGCCAAGTACAGCTGCGTGCGGGGTGCTGTGAGTCCGTCTAGGGAATCTAGGGCGCCCAGGTCTCTGTGAATTCCTGAAGGCTTTACCTTTTACACCCGGATGAACAGCACCTGGTGCATGTGGAGCCTTCCGTGAAAAGTTGATGAATAAGTAACCTCATGAGGATGAACAAATGAAGGAGGTGGAATTAGGAACCCTGCAGAAGCCAGGAGAGACCTGAAGAAGGGGCTCACCTCGAGAGGACTGTATCCGAAGCAGGATGTTGGTCAGCACCGCCTTCTTCTCCCTGACAGTGGACGTTAGGTATTCATGGTCCAGAAGCTCAAGAAAGAGGCGAAGTTCAACTATTAACTCTTCCATCGCTGAAAACAGAGGAAACAGGAGGAAGGGCGTTACTAGCCCCTTAGCTGCAAATGTCAAAATCACCCACACAGTACCGCATGCTTAGTCTGATCATTAAATTCGCATTCTAGCCTGAAAAGCAAGTCAGCTGAAACCAGGGCAACTAAAGACCTGCACATCCTTTTTCCTGCAGTTTGGCTCGGAGGTAGCAGAGCCCAGTGGCGGAGGCCCAAAAGCCGCTGCCACAGGCGGTGTCAGACTCAGGCCTGAGGTCAACACCCGCAGTCAGGATGTGACACTAAATTCCAGTGGGAAGCAGGGGATGGGAGTTTAAGACTATGCCAGTTTGCCAGTAACTCCTAGGGTACGACTTCAGAAGCCCAACGCCCAACCTCCTGCCTCTGCCGGCACTTTGTGATAACTAAGTGGGTTTGGGGTTGCAGTTTGGACACTCGGTCTCTAAAAGGTTCGCCATCACGGCTCTAAAGAAACCCATTCCAGCGACTGTCTGAGTTGTGACCCACCTTGCCCACCTCTTCCGTGTGGCATCCTTCTAACTTGGAAGAATGAGTAACAGGCCAGCTCTGACTTGATTCTAGCTCAGCAGACTTTTATCACTTCAAGGAAACAAGAGGCAACATTTGTTGCCGATGGCAAAATCTAAGCTTTCAGGAGGAAACAGTAATTTGGAAACTTTGTAACCGCCACCTGAAGAGCACTTTACTCTCCAATACAGAGAAGACACAGGCGCAACAGTAACCCACCTGATTATTCCATGTTGTATAAAGAGTCTACATTTGGGGAATCTGCCAAAGTGGGTAAAAGTATCCTTGTTAAAATGCAAAATAAACAGACATTCACATAGCAGAGGCCAGTTCCGCCTGGGATTTCACCTCAGGGGGAGTCAGAAGGGTTGAACTGAGTTTCAGGGTTGGGTCAAAGAGCACCCTCTGCTCCTGAAAAGGATGTGGGGAGATTTCCCCCTCCACCTGCTTCCTTGCATGGGGCCAGGGTTTCCACCTACACTTCCCATCACCTCAATTGTCGGGACCAAGAAGTAGATGCAAGGATCCAGCATCTTCTACCAAGCTAGATACGAAACACACTTGCAAAACTATGAAGCAATGCTACACCTCTAATTATCTCATTTGGGTAAATGCAAATACTGTGTGTGTGTGTGTGTGTACAGAGCAATGGTGCTAAAAGCTAGAAGCAAAAGTGTTACAAATGTTCAGAAGTCTATGTTCAACCCACAGAACTCCACCCCCATCTTCCCTCTGTCCTTTCAAATCACATGTATCCCGCCAGGTTTACACTGGGTCCCCCTGACAGCAATGATACCTAAAGATCTAACAGAACATCACCTATGCTCTGACCCCCCTACACTGTCCCAAGGATGTCACACCGCCCCCTCCAGAGCCCAAGTGGTCTGGTGTGATCAACCTGGGGGAACAGTGCCCTCTGCCATAGGGTAGACCCCAGGCAGCCAATTTCCCCTGCAGGGCCCTGCTGTGCCTCGCATGAGGATCCACCCACCTGGCCAGCACATCCCCCCTGCCCCTGTGCATCCCACCTGGGACTATGCCACTCTAGGTAGTGGCTCTGATACGGAAATGCAGGAACTGTGCAGTGGCTCTTTAAGCACACTCGTGCCAAGGACAGAAGCCACTGGTATGGCTTATATCTAGATGCACCAGCACACACAGCCCCATGTGCTCACAGATGTGGCTTTTGAAAGGTGACTGGATCAGGGGGATGTGACACTCACCATGGATGTGACATTCATGTGATGTTGGGAGGTTGAAGGAGGTGGTCACTGGGGGGCGTGGCCCGGAAGGGTCTATCTCCTTCCTCATCCCTTGATCTCTGCTGCTTCCTGCCTGCCCTGCCATGGACTGTTTCTCCTCCACCAGGCCCCTGTGCTGTGCCAGCCCTGGAGCCAGTCAGTTGTGGACTAAAACCTCTACAAACTGTGAGCCAAAATAAACCTCTCCTTCGGCTCCTCCTGGTCACGTCTCCCCAGCTGCATTACGTGGTCACCTCCTGCCACCTGTCCTGATGACACCCCTCGTCTTGACCGGGGGTGCTGCTGACTGTACACTTGCTGGCCTGGGGTGCATTTGGTGCTTGTGGGGATTTGTTTCTCCTCACAGTAGCTGGTCCACCAGGTACGAGCAGGTCCTACGCTTTGCTCATCTCGCAGCCAAGAGCACAGCGCTCACAGCTCATCACTGAAAGAACAACTGCTAAAATCAGGGGCTTCAGGGCCCGGGATGTAGCTCAGCGGCACAAGTGCCTGCCTGGAAGCGCAAGGTCCTGAGTTCAATTCCCAGTACCAAAAACAAAGCAAAACAAAACAAAATCAGGGGCTTCGCATGTTCTCAGGGCATGGGGTAAAAGGCGCTGTGCTAGGCACCCATACATGGCCTGTCACAGACAGAGCACCTAGTGACCACTGGGTATACAGTGAGAACTCAGTGTGGCTGGAATCATCCGTTAGGGCACAGGGTTTTTTTTTTTTTTTTTTTTTTTTTGTCTTTTTGAGACAGAGTCTCGCTGTGCATTCAGGCTGGCCTTGATATCACTTTGCAGCCCAGGCTGGCCTCAAACTTACAACAATCCTCCTGCCTCAGCCTCCCAAGTGCTGGGATTACAGGCTGCACCACCACGCCCAGCAGGGCACAGGGTTCTATGGCAGCGGTGACAGGGCCAGTGCAGCACTGGACATCTGGCCTGCCGGGCTAGCGAGTGGGCAATGACAGCACACTGTGAGCGGGAGGAGTGACCCTACCAGGTAGGGGCAAGGGTGAGGAGGAGTCCAGCACCTGTGGAGAAGCCCCTCTCCAATAATCTGCTGGAACTAACATGGCTCCGGGACTCCTGACTGACTGGCCTGTCTTCCCACAAGCCAGGTCCACAGCAGCAGAGAATGACATGGCTTTCCATGTTTGCCAGGAGCTCTCAGGCAGGCTTAGCTTCTGCAGCTGCAGAAACAGGTTAAGGAAGGGTGTCCCTGCCTACGGTCAAAGAGTTAATAAGAGCCCAAACGGGGATCAGAACCAGGATCACTGATTTTGTGTGGTACTGCTTTCATACCACGGTGCTGACTCTGCATTGCAGAGTGGAAGAGGACATTACTCCCCCGAGATGACCTTCATGTGACCTCTCACGGCACAGGAAGGGTATCTACACAATTACATCCTCCAAGACCATTACTCAGGCTGTGCTTTATACTCCTATTTTCCAGATAGGTCCTTATATTACGAACAGTCTTTGAGTAGATGAATTCATCCAACCCTCTCAATTTGCGAGGACAGTGGGGGCTCAGGAGGGAAGGGGCTTGGTCAAGAACGAATCTGCGCACCTCTCCCTCCCTCTGTGCAACCCTGACCCTGAGCTGTATCCTCTCAGAGTAAAACTGCTCACATTCCAACACCCGAAATGCTTCCACATCGTTTATCTCATTCTCTCATCAGGATCTTATTATCTCTGAAATACTGCAGACAAGAGAAAAGATTAAGAAAAGCAAAGTGACGGGCCGAGGCAGCAGGCTGGGGAGGGACAGCCCAGCCCTGAGAGCCCCTCCTCTGTCCATCACCTCAAAAAAACTTCAAATCCAGATGGTTTTAGGATGTTCTCCCAAAACAGAACACCAAGGTGACAGCATCAGCTGTTCTAGAGGATAGAAACAAACAACTTTTCAGTCTGTCTTTTTTGGAAGCATGTGCTTAAACCTTAGAGTTTAAGCACAAGAAAGAAAACCAAAGACCAACCTCACTAACACATGTCAATGTGAAAACCCTAAATAAAATACTCGCAAAGGCAAACAACACAACACGTTAACATGACATCATGACCAGGTGAACGGACAGAGCCATTCATTCCCGGATCACAGGGCGTCCGGCAAATCTTACGCAGTCGGCCCCACTGACACATCCAAGGATTAAATGATTTGCTCCACAGGCTCTGGCTACATTCAGTACTTGATAACTGCTCCCGATCTTTAAAAAACAAAACAAACTGATAAGACAGTTCCTTAGTTTAATAAAATGTGTGTACCAGCATTAAAAATAAAGCAACATGCTATCCTAGTGAGGAAACACAGAGGTTCTGTGAAAGGCAGAAACCGGTCAGGAGGTCGCTTCTCAGGCCTTGACACTGCTCTGCCACGCGGGCCGGACTGTCCTCTCCCAAGGTGCCTGGGACCACAAGTGCTCCGCGCCCTGGGGCAGCATCTCACGCTTGGGGTGTCTCATGCATGGGGGTGTGGACACAGGCCTCTCCAGCCTAGCACGCCTAAACAAAACATCCCAAACCCAAAAAACTCCGAGATCTCAAACTTTCTGAGCATCATGTTACCATTCAAAAAGTTTTGCGTTTTGGATTTTCACATTAAAGGTGTTCAATCTGTATCAGCCAAGGCAGTTAGAAAACAGCTGGAAACCTCAGCATGAAAAAGGAAAGTATAAAATTGCCTCTATTCACAGCTGATGTGAAAGCATATCTGCAAAAAAAACCAAAGAATCAATAATAAAACCAAAACAAATAATAAAAATATTAGTAAGCAGAGGAGAGATGAAAACTACAGCATTCTGCATGTTTATTTTTTATCAAACAATAAACAGCCCGAAGAGACAATGGAATACAAGATCCTGGTTATAATAAAAATATTTAAAATAACTTAGCAAAAGATATAAAAACTTGAAATTTTGAAAACACTCCTAAAGACAAAGAAGTAAACCTGAACAAATAGAAAGATTTTCCTTGATTTGGGTTAGGATAATTTCATGTCAAAAAGATGTCAATTCTAACCTAAATTAACAACTACTTTTAATGTGACTCCAATAAATATACTAACACATTTTGTTTTGTTTCTGAAACTAAACAAATGGTTCTAAGGTTCACGTAGAAAATAAGAACTTGAGGATATCTCAGAACAATGAAGAGCGACCAGACCTCTGTCTCCCGAAACGCTAGGAAGATTCTGTCACTGAAACAGCGTCACACTGACCCATGAACT